AAAAAAAAAAAAAAAAAAAAAAAAAAAAAGCAAGGGGCACATTAATTTGTAGTTGCCTAAAAATAAAATGTGTTCTTATTCCATTTCTTTACGTGGATTAAAATGACAAATATGAGAAAACATAAAAAGAAAATCAAACACAGCCACTTACATTAGAGCCTTCCTTGATTGAAGATCTGAAATGCACTGGTTTGGGCAATGTTAGTATTCCTTTTATAGAAATAGTAGGAGTGTCTCCGTAACTAGAGGGCCAGCTAAAATCTCTGCACTAAAAAATTTAAAAATACAGTTTGAATTTTACAAAGGACACTGACAATACAAATATTTGATGTGTTTCTTGAGTTAATGACTCAAATACACTATAAAAGTAAACCTTAGTCTACTGAGACTCCCTGTTCATCAATATTAAAATAACTTGACGTTTAATGATCTAGACTATCAATTTCTTTCTTGAGGTTACAGACACATATGCTTCCATCATATCTACAGATTTTTAATAAATACTGTTTTCTGAAAAATACTATAGAACCCTAAATTCCAAGGAAGGTACTGGCCCATTCCCCAGAAGAAAACAATGGTAGATGCTTTAATGTTTAAATATTCACTTTTGTAAGAAAAACTGGTATTAACTATATTAACTTACCTGTAAAACTGTGATCCAGATCTGCTCTACTGAAGAATTATAAAACACTTTCACATTCAATCTCCCCAAATCTCTTTCATCTCCTGATAGAGTGATTGTATCTGATTTGTAAAAGAACAAAAATGTTTGAAATGCTATGCAATCCTTATAATCCAATTAAGCTTTGATACAATCCAATTTGAAGAACAATAGAAAAATGCTATTACTATTTTTTAAAGTTGCAAAGTTAATAAAACAAAAATACCATTTCAATGTTTTTATTGAACTGCTAGGGAGAAGATAAATTACAAAAAGTACATGGCTTAAAAATGTAACCCAATTATAGCCTAAAGAATTTAAGTTAAAACTAAGAAAAATATTTCAAATAACATTGATATGGACTTAGTACCATGTGCTTCTTGAAGTTCCTTGAATAACATACTTTAAAACAAACAAAAGATCTTAACTGCTTCACTTTTTTAAAGATGCATTCATGCAGAACACTAACAAATGGACCATTTGATCTGACCATTCTCATGCAAATAACACTACCAACATAGATATAATCATCTACAAATTTTTTAACCTTATCATATATACATTCAAATCAGTACAGGGTAGAAATAATTCCCTTAAGAATATAAAAATAGGACACTTTAATCCTTACCCAGGCTTCTGTTACTCCCCTGAGAATTTTTCCTTGAAGAAGAACTACTGGGCACGCTGGATAATGAATCATGTCTCTACAAATAAAATTTTTCTTTAGTCAGATAAACGTATCAAACTATAAGGATTCTGAAATGAATGCCCCAACATCCACCGACTATCAAACTGCATGCTAACCGTTTTGAAAGTGTTACTGGCCAGAATTTCCTACTTTCAGATAGTAAAGGGGAAAAAGCTTTTTGTGCATTTTATCAGAAAAATCGTAAATACTTACTAGATAATATATGGAAAGTCTCTGCTGTTTTTAGTTTGGTTTTGTAATTAGGAGGAAGAAATTATTGCTTTGATACAGATTTGAAAGTACTAATAAGCATCAGAATGTATTTGAAAGTGCTCTGTTACCTTAAAATCCATAAAGCAGCAGTTTTCAAAGCACGGCCCCTCTGGACCAGCAGTGTCAGCTTGTTAGAATTTATCAGAAATACAAACTCAGGCCCCAGTGCAAAGCTACTGAATTGAAATCTCTGGGGGTGAGCCCTGGCAATCTGTATTTTAACAAGCTCTCTGAACATTTCTGATGCACTTGGTGCTATAATGAACTGAAAAAAAATGAACTTGGTTGAGGATTATTAACGATTGTTTAGAATACATTTCCATTTAAATAAAATATATGTATATACATTCGCATGGAAAAAAGTTCACAAGTATATATAACAATATATTCATAGTGCTTTAATTCTTGGTTATAGAAATACAGATGTTTTTTTTACTTGGATTAAGTCTATTTTCTAATTTTAAATAGATTACTAGTATAAAAAAAGAAACTTTTTTAAACATCAAAAAATTATCTATTTCAAAAACAAGGATCTGTGTTAATATTAACGAGTAATTAAAGCCCTACATCTCAATAGAAATACCAATTTTTGCTAATTAGGTAGTTCTGTCCAATAAGGAAAGTTAAATCAGTAAGAACTTTCAACTATACTATTTTAAATCCCACTTGCCTTAAGATTAGCTGAGTGGATACCAACTGAGACATACAAGATTCATTAAAAAAAAAAAAAAGAAAAAGAAAAACTACTATCCTTTAGTATTCAACTGAGAGCTTCCTAAAATAATGCACATGTGAAATGTCAAGTGTTTACTCTTCAGATGTTAGAATAGATACATCTACAAAAGATAAGCAACATATTGTTTTGAATTTTTAGTTTGAAAATAAATGACCACATATAATTAAATTTATATAAATAAGTTACCTGCATGAACTGCTGAGATGAACTTGTAAGATCAAACATAGACCTGCTTAGTCCAGGGGAACTGGGAAGTCTGTTGGCCCTTAAATCACAAACTACAAAGGAACATAAGAAAATTACTTATTTTTTTATAATGAAGAAGAAACACTGGAATTCTACTTAACTACATGAAGTAAACCTCTATAGTAACACATCATTAATACTATACACAAATCTACTTGAGATAAAGCCTTCTAATGATATTAAAAAAACTTTTTTTCAATTATTTTACTATTGTTTTGTATTTGCAAAACAACATAAACCAACCAACACATTTTCACATCCACATCAAATATAAAGCAGGGAATATTCATTCTTTTTGCTTACATTACCCAATTCTTCATCCCAGAAGAATAATCTAAGATGTTAAATCTTCTGTGCTAAATGTAATTCAACTATTTAATGAGCACTTACTAAATTAAAAAAAATCATACTGAATTCCATGTAATCCTACCATTTCTATATTTCTAGCTTCCTTCTAAACTGTAAGATTCTTGAAAAATAGAATTCTCCATATTGTGTATTCTAGCATAGTACTGAAATAATAAATATTTAAATAAACACTTCTGCTTTATTTTCAGTACCCACTCTGAATTGAGTGGTTGAGATAGCTATATACATATATCAAAACCCCGAAAAACAGTGAGAATTTTGTGAAACAGATATGTACAAGATAATCTATAATTGATACAATCTTAAATACTAAACCAAAAAAGTTCTATCATCATTTATCTAAGCATTTTCTATAGATGATACATAAAATAAACATACAAACTAATCTGAAAACAAAACTCCTTTCAAAAAAAGACAAATAAAATGGAAATTGGAAACACCAATTAATACACATACCTCATTAATCTTTCAGTTTTTACATTAGATATAATACCACAGAGAAGTCACTGATATTTATCATATCACTCCTGAAGCTTGCTTTTCTCTTATTTTAAAATTGTTTTTCTAAAGAATAATTTCTTCCAGGGACTTAAGTTTAATTTCATTTCTCTATTTATTAGAGAGAAAACAAAGAGGAAAACACACAAAAAAATTTTCCATACCTGATCCATATAATCTCGTTGCTTCCGAGTGAGGAGGAAAGCGCCGACTCAAATCAGGTGAAATGTGATGACACATATAGAACGGGTTATATACATCATAGCTGGGTCCATGCTGGGATGAACTGGAAAGTTCTGCCTTTCGATCTCCAAAAGATGCCCTGGCAGATCCTGAAAGCAAGTGTTCCTAAAGTCTTACCGCACCCTTTCCTTGGAGTTTTTAGCCAACAGTTGGTGCACCCAAGGCAAAGGAAAAAAAACTGTCTCAAGTAATACTAAATCACATGCACTTGCTATCTAAAAAAACAGGCACACATTTATTGAGCTTTAACTGTGTGGAAAACTCTGCCCAGGATCAGCTTCATAAACCCTGCTCTCAAGGTAATCTGATAAATATTGGGCATGTTTCTTTGCCCAAGGACAGTTTTATATTTTGTGATCTGAGTTTCCTTTTATTTTTCTACTTACACAAAGGACACGTTTTGTAAAAATATGACCATTTTTTTTGGCGATACACTCTTTTCATGAAGACTCAACATTTATAAAACAGACCACGTACTGAGATATACAGAGCAAGTCTCCATAATTTTGAAGGGACTAAAATGATACAGAGTATATTTTCTAACCACAGTGCAATAAAGTTAGAAATAGAGTAACAAAAAGATGGACAGAAAAATATTTGTATGGAAACATAAAAGACCAATAATAACCCAAAAACTGTTTTTAAGAAGAAAAACAAGGTTGGAAGATTTGCTCTACTAAGTACAGAATATTGGCACAATAATAAGATGAATGGGACAGACTAGGAGGTCCCAAAAAAGACACCCAGTTTATGGATGTTTGACTTATAATAAATCAATGTGATAACACATGACAGTGGGGACAGAATGGTCTTTTCACTAAAGGTGATAAGACAACTGGATATTGATAAAGAAAAAAGAATTTCATCTCAAATAAACCTATGTACAAAATACTATTTTCACATGGATTGTAGGTCTCAATAAATGGTAAAGCAAACCAGTAAAACTTCCATATTTTGACAAATTTATAACAAAGCTTTCACAGCCTTAAGGCAGGGAAGCACTTCTTAAATAGAACACAGCATTTAATAAACTGAAGTACATTAAAATTGAAAACTTCCATTTATCAAAAGACAATGTAAGAAAGTGAAAAGGTAACTCACAGAGTGGGAGAAGATGTGAGAAACAAATAGAAGTGACAACGGGCTCATATCCAGAATATATGAGGAACTACCAGAACACAGTAAGAAAAGGACAGGCAAGCCCACATATAAATCAGCTTAAAGACTTAAAGTACCAAATTCAGAAGAGTCAGCTATCCAACTAGCCAACAAACATGACCTGGAGCTCAAATCTCACTTGTCACAAGGGAAATATAAGTTAAAACTTCAGTGACATACCACAACATACTCACCAGAATGATTAAAATTAAGAAGCGTAACAATAGCAAGTGCTGCCAAGAAAGTAGAGCAATGTGAACTATCATGATCTGCTGGTGGGAATGTAAATTAATACAATCGCCATGGAAAACAGTTTGGCAATTTCTACTAAAGCTGAAGATACTCTATCCAGACAATGCCATTCAAGGACTTACACAAAACTGAAATACTTGCACATGTGCACTAAGAGGAAAGCACAAGAATGTTTGTTCATAAATGTCATTATTTATAATGCCAAAAACTGGAAAAAACCCAAATATCTATCAATAGTAAAGCAAATAAACTGTAGTATATACCTGTTACATAAAAATGCCTTATTACATGCTATATAGAAACACTACTGTATATCATGCCATTTAGAATATAAAAGAATAATTATACTTACTGTAAAGATGTGAAAACAAACTGAAGTTACTAACAATTTGGATGAATCTCACAAATACAATATTGAATGAAAGAATTCATAAATAAAAGAAATATACTCAATATGTAATTTCATCTATATAAAGGTCAGAAAACAGAAAAGGCTAAACTACAACATTTAGAGATATGTGCTTAAGTGGTAAAAAGTAAGAATATAAAGAAAGTGACAATTGTAACAATTGGGACACTGAGTATTCTGGAGTGACAGGAAAGGGAGAAGATAGAGGCCCTCAGGTTACTGGCAATACTTTATTTCTCTACCTGACTGGTGACCATTCATGTGTTTTGACTCCCAAGAAATCATTGAGCTGTATATTTCTGTTTTGTTCCTTTTTTTGATATGTATACTATATTTCACAAATTAAAAAGGGTAAAACAATACATTAAATTCCTTTCAAAGTTAAGAATCACAATGGAAATAATATCCAGACATAAAATCAAGTTTTTAAATGTTTAAATTATTGCCATCTTTTAGTTCTTTTTGTCCCATATAAAATAGAACCCATAATAAAAATAAATACTTCTAAATTAAGCTAAACAGTAAAAGAGGTGGCTTCATAGTGAGTTCAGAAAAGAAAAATAAAATATGGGGTTATGAGGTGAGAGCTTATCCTCACCCTGGTTCAAATAACTGTACAATCCAAGCACTGTATAGAGCCAGAGAGGTGCCAAGGGGGAGTTATAACAACGAAAGAGCCTTATAAGGAGACTATACACCCTAGTACGCTAACATTTAAATCATTCGGCACACAAACACTGCTACAAAAGTCTTTATGATAACAATAGTAGCACCGAAGATGACTCACTACCTTTATAGGTTACAGCAAAAAAATATTCTAATTTCATGTTTCCTTTATAAGTAAAACACTAGAGAACTGAAATTTTCCCCTCAAACAGTATGTAGTGATATCATATTTAAAGGTCAAGGGGAATTTCTCTCAATTTACAGAAACACAGTGCAGTAAAAAACACAGCAAAGTTAACACAACTACTTACACCTCTCAAAATCCCTATTTAAAATTCCACTGTTTATTCAAAATATATTCTTTCTTAGTTGATAGGTAGATACTGATAAAGCAAGCACAGGACAATGTTAGTGACAGAATCTGTTATCAAAGCAGTAAGGTGCAGCTGTAATCGGGACCATGAGCAAGTCAATGCAACAAAACAAATTTCAAATATTTGAAACATTATTTTAGTCATTATTTATAGCTTATCATATCAATTATTGATATCCTATCTTCTTCTCAAAATCTCCATGTCAACCTATCACTCACACATGCACATACACATTCACATACATGTATTTGACTTCTATAATTTGGCACCAAGAATACTTTCTTGACTCTAATTAAATAAAGTCTTTAAATCAATATATATTTGGGCTTGCCTGTCTTTTGATAAATGGGATGTATTATTCCCATAATCAGAAAATAAGTAAGAAATAACTACACAATATGCGACAGCCTTTCTTTTGTCTTTAGAAAACAGATTACTTTTTAAGTTGACCTGAGAAATCAGTTTACTCCTAAATTATAGGCTCAGTGAGGATGTAGTGAAGCTGTCTGATCGAACAGTCTATAGTCTAGTCTCCAAAACATAATATCCAACATCCAGAATACAACCCAAATTATCCCATATACAAATAAACAGGAAAATGTGACTCTTTCTAAAAAATTTTTTTTAAAATACAATCCATAGAAACTAAATGACCCAGACATTAGCATAAGCAAAGACGTTAAAACTCAGTCACAGAAGAAAACAGGCTCACAATAGTGAAAAACAAACAAGAAATTATAGCAATGGTATAGAAACTATTTTTAAAATGTCAATTCTACAACTGAAAAATATGATTTCTGAAATTAAAGACATACTGGATGGGCTTAACAGCTGAATGTGGAGATAACGTAGAAAAGAGACAATGAACTTGAAAATAGATATTATCCAAACTTAAGAATAGAGAGAAGAAAAAGATTACAGAAAAAAAATTTGAGACACATAAAACACATATCAAAAGGTCCAACATATGTATAATTGGAATCCTAGAAGAAAGAGAAAAAAAGGACCAGGCAGAAAACACTATCTGGAGAAATACTCTAGATTTTGATAGGAGTTTGGATTACCCTAGTATATGCATTTGTCAAAACTTAACAAAATACACACATAAAACTTGGGGAGTTCATTGTGTATATACTTTATGTCAAAAGAAGAAAACTGTAAGCAGATATTGAACTCCAAAAAAATGATATATATAAGCTCAAGTATTTAGAGGGAAATGTACTAATGTCTGAAATATAGACTGAAATGCATTCTTCACCCTACCCAAGAAAGGATTAATAATGGATAGAGGAATGGATAGATATATGATAACATAAGTATAGTAAAATGTTAATGATAGAATCTATATGGTAGATATACAGGTAACTGCTGTTAAGTTCTTTCAACTTTTCAGGATGTTTGGAATTTTTCGTAAGAAAATTTTGAGGGAAAAAATCATTATGACTGACAGTGTTTTAATGGACTAAAACAAATTATTTTTAAAATACAAAACTTACACGTTGTTTTCTCTTATCTTCATTAATCCATTAACCTCTACAACATCAGTCAAAATTCAGCCAATGAATCTGTGTCATTCAAGTAGCTAACTGAACTGGGGAGTAAAGAAAGAGGGAAAAATAGACTGCTCTGCTGTTTCCTTATTTTTCTTTACACCAAATTTTAGAAAACAGTAATAAGAATCTTTCCTATATTTACTAATCACATACAGAAAAATCTCTCCATTTTTTTCTTTCTAGATGTGTGAAGAGTAACAATGTATTGTATTATTCCTTTAAAAAAGGCCAAATTTACACACAAATATGTTGAATGGGACCAATTTCATACTGGGACCTTCCAAAAATACTGTACATTAAGTTCCTCTGCAGAAAGCGCAAAACACATATAAAATAGAATGTAAAATTTATACATAAAAAATCTTATATCATTATACTAAAGATATAAAAAAGCAACATAACAGCAATAACAGCATTTAAATGCTGCATGTTGATTTTCAAATCCCTATCATTTCTTGTTTACCTTCAAGTTCTTCCAGATGTGAGGGGCTTCCTTGAGTCCTAGGCTGAACATAAGATAACTTAAACCTGGGCACGACAAATGGTACTTCTTTGCCATCAGATGGTAATTTTGAAAGTAAATAATCCTCAGTACAGCCAACCTGAGGCTTTACAGAAACAGAAGTCAATGGAGGTATACAGATAGTAGTAGTATGACTATTTAAAGTTGCTGCTTTTAAGTCTCTTTCCACAGAAACTGCATGTAAAAGAAGAAAAAAGAAAAAGAAAAAATATCACAAATATGCACACAGATTTATATATAATAACCTAAACCTTGCATACTTTGGTACTTAACATTGTAGAAGAAACTGCTGATACAGAAACTACTCTGGGGTCCTGTCAAGTACTTCAAGAATCTTAATTTATTCTGTCCAACCAATATTTAAGCAATTATTTCCAAAGTATATAAACTTATTACAATGGTAACAGCAGTTTTTAAAACGTCTCATTCCCACAAGAGTTAATAGATGAGAAGTTTATTTTGTAGTTAATTCTACAATGCTTTCAAGTAAAACCCAGCATTTAAAAATGCTGTCAACAAAGCAATTCCTGTTGTCAATACTAATGGTTAACATCAGTCTTAAATGCATAAAGCAATTCTGAAAAGAAATCAAAGGTCTCCAAGTCTACAAAAATCTTCACCAAATCACTAAACAAAAAAATGACCCTAATACAATAGCAACTCTCCCTGTACTTGCTTCTATGACCTTTTTTGGCCATTATCTCAACAATATATGATTCTTAAACTGTATGACTTAGGATGGAGAGGTAAGGGACACACAGTGTTAATTTGTCTATATAATTAATATTCTCTATAGATTGAATGAAAGTACAACTACTATTGTGTAGGAATTTTCAAATGTTTTAATGCGAAAAAAAAAGCCTTCATAGTCAAATATACTAGGAAGCTATGCTCTAAACTAAGAAATACAAGAAAGAGCCAGAGAAAAAGTTCCAGTCATAATCCTGAAAAGATGAGGAAACCATGCAATAGAAAGGGAAATCTCCAGAGCCCTTGATAAATATGGCTCTTGAGAAAAGTTATGGGTCTCTTCTCCACCAGTCATTCACTCACGAAAGGCATTTTTTTAATGCACTATGTTCATAAACTGGAAGTTGTCTTTATTTAAAATAAAACATTTGCTAGAGTACATTGAACCCCAAACACGCCAACACTTGTCTCTCCCTGGCTTTGCCTGTACTATCTCATCCACCCATACTCATGTCCTCTCCTCACCTTCTCTCACTCCTTCTTGCCACTCAGCCTGCTAAAATCCTCTTCAGACTTCAGTACCAAATGCCATCTTCTTTGTGGCAATGTAGCAGCGTATCTCCTGGGTTGAATTCATCTCTCCCTCTCTATGTTCCAGGTACTTTAACACTTACCGAATGTGCCCTGTATTTATGTTTCTGCCTCCCCAATAAAGTTAGGGAAATGTCTCATTTATCTTTATATTACAAAATGCCACAAATAAAGAAGACCTTAAATAAATGTTTGTTGAAGTCAAACAAAGCAAAACTCACAGTTGTGCTTTTCTGTTTCATCATAGAAACATCCTCTACAGCAACTCTTAATAAATTCTGTTGCCATCACATTCAATTTCCAATATCCAGCAACTGATACAGATTTTCAATTTCAATATTAATCTGTTGGTAGAATAAAAGACAAGTTAACATGATCCTGGTTAATGCCATTAGAATCACTAAATAAATGTGGCTTTCTAAGACATAATGAGGGCTCCAAAGCAAAAATGTTTAGAGGAAGACAGACTTTCTTGTTCTTATATGTAGGTTTGTATAACCTAGATGTCTCATAAGTTATAAAAATGACATACTTAAATATTACTAAATGAGCTATCTCAATTATTTGATCTGAAAAAAAAATAAAAAGAAAAACCCCATTCTCAGTTTTTTCACCTGGTATACCTAAGCTGATTCCCCAACAAAATTTGCATGAAATACGGCTCTCATAAAAAGTGTGGGAAAAATTTTACTTCCTTCAAATCAATTCTTTTGGGAATCCAAAGGCTTCTAATTGGGACCAATAAACAAATAACATCATTCCTTATTATTTAGTTTAATGCTTATTAGACTAACAAAAAATATAAAAAATATCACACACACACATACATACACACAAAGAAACCAGCTAACTAAACCACAAATAAGTCAAGAGTGGAAATAAACTTTTAAGTTTACCAGAAACATAAAATTGTGTAAGAACTTCAAGCCCAATTCCCCACCTTGGCCTCAATGACTTTATTCCAAATGTACTCTCTTCATTCATGCCTACTTAAACTCTGTACATTTTTCATGGGAAATTTTAAATGTATACACGAAGAGTAAGAATATTATAATAAAACCCCTGTCACCCACATTAAACAATCATCAACTCAAGGCCAACCTTAGTTCATCTCTACCTCCCCACTTACCCTGTTCCTTTGGATTATTTCAAAATAAATTCCAATCACACCATTTCATCCATAAACACTTAATTATCCCTGAAAGATGTGGCAGAGGACTCAGGACTTTATGTCAAAGGCACTGAAGTTAGATGACTAAAGATGGATTAATTTGAGCATCAAAACAAACAGTAACTGTAATGGATTATAGTAGCAAATATTTCTAAAAGATATTCAATTCTTAAACATTAACCATACTAGCATTACCACTACTAAAAAATTTAAGATAATCAACTACCCAGTCACTGTTCAAATTTCCTCCATGGTGTCAATTATTTTTTATAACCGCTTCCATCAAATCAAGATAAAAATCTGGATTGTTTCCAGTCTTTCGCTATTATTAATAGTGACACAGTAACTCTGTGCACACATATTTTCATATATTTTCCAGTATATATCTGTAAGATAGATTCTTAAGAGAGGATTACTGGGTCAAAAGGTAAATATATGTATAATTTTGTTTAGTATTGCTAAGTCCCTCTCTAAAGTTGTACCATTTTGCATTGTATGAGACAACCTATTTCTGTAATCATCATGAGAAGAACTACTTCTGCTTTTCTGAGTTTTTCACTTTTGAAAAACAACTTTCATTTTTCTGAGTTGAGGCCTAGGCATTTTACATTATGACAACCCTGCTCACACCCAGAGTCTGGACATTTAGCTAAAAACCTGAGCTTAGGATTCCCAGCACAAGTTTCCACTTTGCTTTTTCTGGGGCGCCTTTCAAAATGACTTAAGAGTTAAACCAGTGAAAAGTGAGTGACCTCAGCCCCAACCATCTTATAAGTAATAGATGCTTGCTACCCTGCTCTCTAGCACCTGGGACAGAGGGACAGAGGACTGCCCTTCCCCGGCTCATTGAGCCACTTCCAACATCTGTAACAAATCTTGTGACTTTACCTCCTTAGTGTGGGTGCAGTGAAACTGCATCCTTAACCAAAAGGACCCTGGAGTTTTCACTTCCCTGAAGTAGAAGCTTGGAAGCTAAGGAGCTGTCTACTGACCCTGTGTGGGTGCCTTGTACCTTCTCATCAGCAGGTTATAATCCACATATTCTCAATTTAATTCACCAGCTCTGGCTTCTCAACACAGTCACCAACAAAGTATTCATCAAAATGCTGGGCTTCTGTCAATCTGATAGGAAAGAAATTGTACCTTGTGGTGTTTTAATTTGCATCGTTATACATGAGGCTGGGCACCTTTTCATATAAGGCTAATCTATATTTGTTTCTATGAACTCCTTCCTTATCTCTTGCCCATCTTTTCATAAAGCTATTAGTCCTTTGCCTCAGTTTTATTAGAGAATTTTCATATATTCTCTAAATATATTTTTTAAAATTTTATATATGTGAGATTAACACATTGTCCACAATATAAGTGGCAAACATTCTTTCAGTTTGTCATTATCTTTTTATTTTGAATGAGGTATTTTCTGCTATGCAGAGAAAGAGAATGCATGTGTATATATAAATACACACACACACAATTATACTTATCTACATTTTCCCTCTTTGCTTCCGGATTTAGAGTCACAGTAAAGGTTTCCCCATAAGTAGGTCATAAGATTTTACCTATACTTTCTTCTAATACTTAATATGGTGTTATTTTCTGTATTAAAACCCTGGTATATACAGTTATGAAAAATAATCCAATCCTATTTTTTCCCAATTGGCTATCTAGTATTATAAACACCATTTATTTAAAATTATATATTTTCTCCATTGATTTTAGGATGCTACATTTATTACAGACTAAATTCCTACATGCAATGGAGTTTATTTCTGTATTTTCTATTCTCTTCAATTCGCCTGTCTATTCCTGTACCAATACCACGTTTTGAGAGTTATAATGGCTTACAAGTTTTAATATCTAGCAGGGCTAGCCTCCTGTCTTTACTGTTCTTGCTAGCTATTCTTGCTTATCTGTTCTTTTAACAAACTCTATAATCTGTGTAGCCCCAGGAGGAAAAATCTGATGGTACTTTCACTGGGATCATATTAAACTTATAAATTGTTTTAGGGAAAAGCTGACATCTTTAGGATGTTAATATTCCTACCCAGAACATTTGTTTAACTCCATGTTTGTATCTTTAGGAGTTTTCATAGTTTTTTCTCATGTAAATTCTGACTTTTCTTCTTAAGATATGCCTGAAAAATTAGTCTGGCTATCATAAATGGCATCTTTTTGCCATTATATCTTGTAACTGATTTCTGTTTTTAAAATGTATATGTTTTCAAGACCCCTTTTAAGCCCCTGTTTAGAGGATGCATTCCTTGACCATCTCCATATTAATTTCTTACCCCAAAATCTACTGTATTTATTTTTTTAATTTTATATTTTTCTTGACATTTCATAACGCCTGTCCTATCTCCCTTGCTAGACTATAAACTTTTCAGAAACAATATTATATTCACTTTCTACTTAACACTCAGTACCCTGTATGATGTTGGAAATATAGTAGGAACTCAGCAAATACATAGTTGACAGATAAGGAAACAAAGTACAATAACTAGTTTATATAAAAACTCCTAACATATTCTCTAAACCACATTTTTGACCCAAGTCAGCTTGCACATACTTTACATTAATCATGAGGGGAATGTGGGAAGACTGGTTAAAAATGATACTATTTCTGGAGAAAAGGTTCTCAAAATTGATGGCACTGAGTCACCCAAAATGAATTGGGAACAATAGGGGATGGATGTAGAAAAGGAAACAAGTTTATATGAATAAGAAGAAGGCAGCCAGAATTGGCATGGCAAACTACTGGAGTAGAGAGGTGCAGACACAGAGAACTACAGACATCAGCAGAGGGTCCCACTCGAGTATTCAGCAGACCAGTCAGAGCATGCATGCAAGGAAAATACACATGACTGGGGGAAGACCACCAGAAAAGGTTACAAAAACCATAACTGACACTCACCAAGGTCAGTGCCTGTCCCCACCAAACAACCTGGAAAAACCTCATAATTCACAGGGGGTTTTGGGTACAGTACTCAGAAGGATCTTGCCTCAGTGGTGAGGAATAAATAGTCCTAAACACTAGTCTGCTTCCACCAAACAAATCTTAAAAGCATGACCCAAAAGGATCAAATTATTTCTAAGAAATTTAACTATGTCCCAAAGCAAAAAATATTTATAGAAATCTATAAATATCCAGTAGACAAGGTAAAATTCACAATATCTGACAAAAAAAAAAAAAAAAAAAAAAACACAAATGAGGGAAAAAAAACCAAAGAGCGGGAACCAACCCAGAAATAATAAAACAGTTCTGATTCTATATGTTACATAGAGATATGGAAGATATTAAAAAAAAAAGAAAAAGACCCAAGCTCAACTACTAATGATGAAAATTAGTGTCTGAGTTAGAAAATACACTGGATAGGATTGATAGACTGCATATTACAAAAGAAAAGATTCATAAACATAAAGATACAGTATGAGAAACTATCAAAATGAAACACAAAGAAAAAAACCAATGTAAACAGCATTTGTAAACCATGTGACAATTTCAAACAAAACAATATACATGTATTGAAGCCCATAAAGGAGATGGGGGGAGGAAGTAAAAATATTTGAAGAAATAATAACCCAAATTTTCCAAATTTGGTAACTGCAAGCCACAGATCTAAAAGCCACAACAAACACTAAGCACAGGAAGTATGAAGTATGCCAAAGTATATCACAGTAACACGGCTTAAAATCAATGGTGAAAAGGAAATCTTTTTTAAAAGCAGCTAGAGAAAAAAAGACATGTTATATACACAGGAATAAAGATAACAACAGCATAGTTCTCACTGGAAACAATGCAAGAAAGAAAATAATGGAGCAAAAGGAAAAAAAAAGTACTGAAAAAAAAACCCTGTAAATGTAGATTTTTACACCTGGAGAAAAATTTTTCCAAAAGGAAGGTGACAAAATGACTTAAAAGATAGCACAACCAGCAAATCCACACCACAGGAAGTATTCAAGAACATTCTTCCAGCAGAAGAGTGCTACCAGATGGAACATGGATCTACACAAGGAATGAAGAGCTATATATATGATATACATAAGATACATATATATATGATTTTAGTATTATTAAATCTCTTAAAATATTATACAGATACTTAGACAAATGATAACATAGTAATGTGGGGTTTACAGCGTATGCAGAAGTAAAATGCTTAGTATTAGGAGAAA